AATAATGACGAGAAAATGTCTATACATATTAAATGTCCATATCATATGTACAGATATTATACATTTTTCCCTAATATTTTTAATCGAGTTGGTTGAATCTCTGGGTATAGAACCTGAGTATACAGAGGGTCAAATGTAGTACCCCCAGACTTTCACTTCAGCTCAGGAGTATTTACAGAGGTCAGGTACAAACCTGCCACTTAATTTCAGGTGTAGTTGTTGAGTTGCTGCAGTCATTAAGACAGTCCTGCAAATCTCTATTTTTGATGCAGCCCTGGCAGCTCTGTGTATTAGGAGTTCACTTAGGTCCCAGCCCTCCAGCTGAGGCTGCAGAGAGAAACCTGGCAAGATTTGCAGGCTTGGGACTTCTGGTGGGGTTGAGTTTATCACACAAAGTCTGGAGGTGAAAAGTAATTCTCATCATGGATTAAAAACATATGTGTCTCACATTCACATAGACTTACAGCTTTTAAAAAGAAAGTTCTAAAGATAGAATTTTTTTGTTTTTTGTTTTTCAGAATTTAAAAAGCATCCATACCCTAACATTTTCTTATTTTCATTTATGCACATTACTGAGACAAGTGTTTTCTGGATTCCTAGTAATACTATTTATCTTTTTAATTAATTAAAGAAATGTATCTTTTTACTTCATTTTGCAAAAGCCAGCTAGCTGGGTTTGCCATATAAACACATCTAGTGGAACATTTAAAAATACATTTTTAATATATGTAGAGTTAGAACTACATGGAAAGTAATGACACTAGGAAATCCAATGAACAGAAAGTATTTCTCAAATTTTAAAATTTCTACCCACTTTGTACAGGAGTGTGCACTTTCTTTCTGAGTGGGTTCAAGGTCACTTTTTCCCAGCTCCAGTGATAGTATTGTTTGTCTCCCTTTGTTCCTCCCTCTCCAGCCCAAGTCTTCTTTTTTCATGAAGAATTTCTACAAAAGCAATGGGCAGATCCTCTGCCTCAGAGACACCCCTTAGAGGCTGGCAAGCCCGCATTTATCTGGCTCTTGTAATGGGTTGTTAAAAGCACTTGTTCATCAGATATTTTCTTTTTCTTTTTATTTGTAGATTTAGAAGTATTTTAGCAGGTGTACATTTGCATATAAAAGAGAATAAAAGATAAGAAGTTGAGGCTTTTTCTTTCTCCTCTTCTTAACATCATCTCTCTCCTACCTCCCTGTTCTTAATGTGTTTTCACTCTTTCTCTAGCCAGTTCTAATTTTTAGATACAAAGTGCATATCAAAAAGAAAACAATAGTCTCAGTGATCTTCCGCACGCTGCAGGATGATGGGGCCTGGGCAGCTTATGTAACAGAGTAGGGGAAATAGGTTCACTGGTCGTGTCATTAGTGTGGACTTAGCAGACAGGGTGGATTTTAATCTTCTGGAGCTGGACACTGCATGGGTTGGGGCCCCTGCCTTGTTTAATGTTTTCAACTATAATATTCTCTACTCTTAAGCTAAACTCTGGCACAGATTTGAATAGAGTAAATGCTTGACGGAGATTCAGAACTGAAAGCTGAAGGCTGCATGTGTTTTTTCTGTGTCTGAGAGACTGTTCCAACTGTAAAGAAGTGGATGCTTTAGAAATGTTTGTTTTATGTAATTGTTTTCACATTCAGTAATTTTCTGAGAGTTACCATTACTAAAGAGAAGAAGCATTTCCCTGGAGTTCTGAGACATAAGCTAGAAGGCAAATAATAGCCACCTTGTCCTCAAATTTTTGTACTTGTAGCTGAGAAGACTGAATTCTTTTCCCTTTGGCAATATATGAACTTTTTTCTCTTTCTCATTGATAGAAGGCTAACTTGAACTTCTAGATTTGTGACTTTTGTTCCTTGTTCATTCATTTAATAACTGTGATTGAGTAAGGCAACACAGGGTAGCTTTTATTTTTCTTTTCTTTTTTGAGACAAGGTTGCAGTGTGTAGCCCAGACTGGCCTCAAACATATGATCCTCCTGCCTCAGCATCCTATGTGCTGGGATTACAGGTGTGCACCACTCTAATGCAGCATATAACTGCTTGATTTGTTCCTGTCCCTTTTCCTTCCAGAAATGACTGGGCCTGAGTTGCCATGAAACTTGTGACCGTTGCTTTTCTTTTTTGCAACTTGAAGTTGACATCCTGGCTAAGCCTTCTAGGCTGTTTCAGGAAGCTTTCTGAATTATACTCCGAAGAGTACAAAAAATGTACTCTTGCCACCGAAGAGTGGAAACCCTGGTCTGTTCGATATAGACAGCTACTTAACAATCCCTTGGTGTGGTCCCAGATCACAGCTCCTTCAGTGAGAAAGTTTTTCCATCATCTGGCTTGGATCCTTTGGCTGCAGAGTCCCCTAAGTATTCTTGTGCCACTTTTAATAAACATAAAGATTACTCAGTGACATCTAGTTTTTAGGTTTGCAAATGTGTTCTGTTTAGATACTGTAGTGTCTTACGTATTTTTAAAACAAAGAAAAAAGCTGGAGTCTGGTGAAACCAGGCTCACTTTCCCACCTGGCAGCTTTGGCTGTGGCCAGGGAGCAGCTGTCCTTGTGGACAGAGTGCGCTCCCCAGCTGCACCTGGCCAGAATCCCCTCTGTCTGGGTGTCTGGGTGGCCCCAGAGGTGTCTTTGTTCATAGACCCACCCACATCCATGTAGCCGGTTTGCAGAATCTGTGTCCTTGAACCCATCATCCCTGTGCCAGCCTGTGTAGCCATTAGTCCCACCTGATTTTTTTTTTTTAAATCAAGCCCCATTTATCCTATGCAGTCCAATTCAATTGTCATGATTGTGTGTCTGTGGTGCTGCCTCAGTTACTGACTGTTGATTTCTGCAAGGGACAGCACTTTATCCTCACACCTTTTAAACTTCCCTGTGTCCTTAAAAGCACTGGAAGCAACCTGTGCCAGGGCTGTGGGTGGCACTGTACCTAGCAGTCCATAGTCTCATGTTGCTGGCTCTGACTCCTCAAGTTAGGGAAGCTGTGTCCCCTTTGGAAATTGCTTTATTCTGGGTGGCCTTCAGTGGCTCTGATCGGCAAACTCTGCAGCAGGCCCAAGAAGCCATGCCAGTGAGGGGTGTGGGTGAGAAGGGGCCAAGAGCGAGCTACCTCCCCACCATCCTCCAAGCCTGCCAGTCAGCAGCAGCACAATCAGGTAGCCATGAAGGGGAAGCCAATAACAGGGCCCAGGTTGTGCAGGAGGAAGGGAAGGAGACCAGGACGGGAAGTGTGGGGAACATAGAGTGTTAACACCGTCAGTTCCCTGCACATTGGTGATTTCCTCCTTACTAGACTGAGATCCCCATGATATCAGCCCTATGTCATTTCTGACTGAGCAGATGCCTGATGCCCTGTCTGAAATCACCTTGTGCACCAGCTGAATGTTTCTCCTTCTGAATGTCTGTGTGCTTCTGTTGACCCGTAGCTATTCCATTTCTATTCTTATTTTGTTTCTATCTTTGCTATCTTTTCCTTGACCAAATAAGTTTAATTGAATGCAGAATGACACATAGTTATTAAGGCTTGTATCCTAAAAGCTGAAAAATCATTTGGTTGATTTTTATGGAACAGAAGACATTGTCATGACTAATGATTCTTTACCTTTAGTGTTCACTGTTGTCTCCTCCCCAGGTCACCTTCCAGCATAGGTGGATTGCAGGGTAGTGTCACCACACCGGCAGCCAACAAGCACATTCAGTCCCAGGCGACTGCTCATGTGGTACAGACACACAAACGCACATACACATTACACATGTGGCTCAGATACATGTGGCAAGACACGGACAGGAATATATACATGGTATACACATGGTACAGGCATGCTTACATTTTTTTTTTTTTTTGAGACAGGGTCTCACTATGTAGCTGAGACTGACCTGGAACTCACTAAGTAGCCCAGGCTGGTCTCGAACTCACAGCGATCCTCCTGCCTCAGCCTCCCGAGTGCTGGGATTACAGGCGTGTACCACCACACCCAGCTCTTTGTTAAATTTTTAAAAATACTAGTTCACCAAACTGATTTCCCAGGTAGTGATGTCAAAAAGTGCTGCTTTGGAACTTCCTATCTTCAGTGTTAAGAGTTCCTGATCCCTATGTATTTTATTGATATAGCATTTAATATTCCCAAGTATAGTGCTATTTCAAATATTCACTTTGACTTGATTGGTTCTTAGTAGGGCAAGATGAGTTATACTTTGCTCTTCCACCTAGTGGTGGTTTTAATAAAAAAAAATAAGGGGTTTTTAGTTAGGGTCTTAAACTGAGACAGAAAAAGCAGGAACCCAACCAGTTGCCGATGTCCACAGCAGGAATCCTTTTGGGGCCATATTGAAGATGTGGATGTGGATGCTGTTCTATTTTGTCTTTGTTCAAACAAACTCTCCGTTTTCTGTTGCATCCACATGTCCTTGAGACCTGAAGGAATGGGCAGCTGTGTGTGTGGCTTGGGTCCTTGTGTAGGGTTTTTTTTTTTTTTTTCTGTTTTCCCCACAGCCTCCCCAGCTGGCACCCAGCCAGGCCGGGCTCTGTCCCTTTCAGACATGTTCCTCTTTCCCCTGCAGGTTTCTTTGTAGGCTGTGGGACCCTGATGCTGACCACTCACCAGCCTCTCCAGGACCCTGTCCCCTATGGGAGAGCCTGAGAGTGCAGGGCTATTCCTAGCAGTGACCACCTAGGACATCTCTATTGCTTCCCTTTGCTCCTGGTGCTCCCATGAACCTAGAGGGAAAGGAAGCTGAGCCTTTTGATGCACACACCTCACCCCCACCCTGCCCCAGGAAATGATTGTGATTTTGTGCTTCAGATGAAGTCTTAAAACTCAGCTCTTCTTTGAGTCTTGAAGCCTGGGTTCAACTTAATTGTGTTTTGTTTGTTTGCAAAATTTCTGAAAAAGTGACAGTTCAAAAAATAATTTGCATGCATTTGAAAAGTTCATAGGAAGAATTTATGAAACCTCTCTGGGCAACAGGAAATTCAATATTCTGTACTTTCTTTAATCTGTAGAAACAAAAGCATACCAGTTGCTGAAGAAGTCCACCCTTCAGGAACAAACAATACAGATAGAAGACAGACTCCAAGGGGCGCATGCCTCTGCAGCACAGTTTGCATGTAAGTAAGGGCAGATTCAGTGTGTTAAGCCTGTGTGGCCTGGGGCCACACACTTTCTGAAGGCTTGTAGAGTTTGCTTTGTAAAAAGCTGTCATTGGGCTGGAATGAGTGAGCACTCCCCTTCCCTGACTCCCAGCTTCTTAGTCGTCAAGTCAGAAGTTGCACCAGCCTGCCCTCCCTCGAGTGTTGGGATCGTTGTACTGCTTTTCATGGGAAGACTGTGGATCCCGGCAAAGCTAAATTTTAAACTTAAATGTAGCTCCTTTAATCTAGGGTATGTTTGAATTATTTTTTTGTTTACTTATACTTTCTTATTGTACATTTATTACTTGCAGTGGTTTTCCTTTTATTGTAGTATACCTTCTTTTTAAGTATTAGTAACCTTGTAACCCCTTTGTAAAAGTACATGGGCTAATACAGAAGGAAATATATATTAATGGCTTAATTCTTATAAAGCCACAGTGTGACTTATGTGAACTACAATTTTCCCATTATAAGTAGCAAGCGCTTTCTTAATATCGTATAATTCCTGGTTCACATGTGGATGTTTTCTTCAGATAGATACTTTTGAGGGTTAAACTTAGGGTGCATCAGAATTACCCATCTCTGGAGAGAGAATTCCTGGGTAACTTAGTGTTAGGGTTGCCAAAAAGTCCAGTTTCCCTGGCTGTTCTGAAGTTCACTGAGTGCTGCAGGCCAAAGGCCCAGTGCAGGGAGGCCGCTTGCTCAGCATCATGCAACTGTGAGCAGACATGTGTCGTGGGATGTCAACTCCACGAGAGATTTTGCTAAGTGCGTTTGGTACCTAACTGGATGTGTACTAAGGATGAGTAACTCTGATAAGTTGTAGCCCCTTGGATGTGTAGTAATAATTATGGCACTATTAAGCATACTGATAATTAACACCTTATTAATTATTCACAGGTGAAATGACACTATAAATTATATAGTCAAGCACCCCTAGATTTAATGCCCTCAGTCCATACTCAGAATTACCCTCTTTGCCTTTCAAGGTATTTGAGTACTTTCCTGAGTTAAAATGATGCAAAAGCTCCTGATAGTGTGGCTGTCCCCATAGTTAGTGCCTCTGGTGTCTGCTTTGCCTGTAGTCAGCACCAAGTTTCCACTGCACTGTGCCTTTCCCCCAGGGATATGTATGAGCTACGGAGAGAAGCAGAGGCCAGCTAGGAGAGTGAGGGGGGTGTGTTCAGAATTTGGGATCCCTCTCTCAAACACAATGAAGAGGCAGGGCACGCCTCAGTCAGGCGTGTAGGCCTTGGTCTCTGTACCTGTCACTAAGGTAAGCCACTCAGGCCATGAGCCTTTGTTTTCAGATCCCAAAGCCCTTGCTAGGTTTGAGGAGACTCCTTAGGCTAACTGGACACACTAGTGAGGGAGTGGCTCTGCTGCTGAGGTTACACTGCAGGGCAGAAACTCAGCAACCCTTTTGCAGGGATACCATGCTCTCTGCCTGGGCTCTTGGTGACTGCCAGTTAACCAGGTATGTAGCAGAAACCGCAAGGCCCAGGGCACCCAAGAGCCAGAGATTAGGGGACCTTGCAGGCTGGGAACAGTGGGACAGCCTGTTCCCCCAAACTGAAGAAGACAGGGATCTTGCCTCCTCTTCCTCAGCCCTTCTGCTGGTCTTCAGTGGCCTGCATGGTTTTCAGTGGAGAAACGTCAGTGGGATGGAGAATACGTGACTTGGCAGAGAAGCTTGAAAGTGGCTGGGGTGGGTGCTATGATCGGGGGTGGGGGGCAGTTTTTCCTGAGAGCTGATTCCCAGCACCGGTGGCTGTGTGAGCCATTGCTTCCGGCGTGCTATAGCAGTGTGCCTTGTTCAGTACCATGTGCCATCAGAGAGGCTGATGTGCATTCTGCTCAGTATAGAGCCCTTCAGCATTATTGCATTTTTTAAGCATCACAAGGGAAACCCCTGTTCCCTTCTATTCCTTACACTGCTCCTCACCTCAGCAGCATCCTTGCCATCTTCCTGTGGTGGCGTTGGTTTCCCCAACGTTCCTGGAGGCCTCTCTGTTCATGTGTCTCACTGCACTGGCTACTAACACTCTCCCTCCTCCTTTGTGCCATCACAGGTCTGAATATAGGCAGCAGTGTGCTCCAGACAAAGGCAACTCACAAAGTCGCTTCAGAAGCTAGTTTCTCATCCTGCAAAGGAAGTCCTTTGTCAAGGTAAATTGTGAGAGCCCTTCTGAATAGCAGCACAAGATGAGAAGTGTTATTCCACAATGAATTCAACTCTGGCTGCATATTATTTTGTTGTGTGACTTGATGGAGGGTTATGGTTTGTGTTTTGTTGTTTATCTAAAATCACAGTCAAAACTTTAGTCTATCTTTGAAAATATTTGCCCCACAGCCAAGTATTGTTTTGCAGCTGTTGTTTCCTTGCTTTAAGACTCAATTGACACCTCAGTGAACCACAAATTAGCGCCTACAGCTGCTTGCAGTAGGGCTGCTTAGAGACCACACAATGGGGGCTGTCAGGAAAAGGGCAGAGAGAAAAAACATCAGGCCTGGAAAGAAAAATGTGGCCAATTTCTCTTTTCCGAGCTCCTGATAAACTAGCAATATTAGTTTTTATATTCTTTTTTACCACGTATTTTGGCTGCATTACTCTTTCCATCTCTAACACTTTCTTGCTTTTCTTTTTAAAGAACAGAATTTATTTTTTTACACTTGTTAAACTACTATTTCTTGTAAGATTTTTTGAGCAATGATAAGTGAATTACGTGCCGAATTGCTGTCAATGTAAAATACTGATCACACAGTGGGACATAAGCAGTCATCTGAAGGAATGCCTACCCTTTTACTTTAGGCTGAGTATCATTTAAAACAGCACAGCAAGTTTCCTTTTGTAATAACACTGTTTAAAGAGTCCTTTTGATGATTGTGTTATATTTGAATTTACTACTTGACCCTGATGAAATTTTAAAACAAGAACTTTACATTTCTAATATTGCATCTACTGTACCATTACCTAAAATGATCTGATCCACAAATACCATATTGAAATGAAAATGTAGAAAATCCTACTTTTATTTATATTTTGTAAAAATATTACAACATTTTAGGACCTTGAATATATTAAAATAAGGTTGGTTTTCTAAAATTCCTACATTTAGTAATTTGACAAGTATCCAAAACGATCATTTAATTATGAGAAATTGTTATCTTTTTTTTTTTTATACCAGGAATTGAACTTAAGCCCTTGTACTTTTGAGGCAGGAGGCAAAACCACTGAGCTAAATCCCCCCAGCCCAGAAATTGTTATCTTTAATGCTTGTGTTTTCATCCATATTGTGGAAGTGTGAGATAACTGGTAAGGAAGAGTGTTACAGTTTTATATTGTTATGATGATATTATATATTTGAGCCCTAGGTCTTTTATAAGAAGTTTTAAAGAACAGTAAATTCTGTAGTTTTTAGGATTTAAAGTTACCATTTGGCTTAATAGTATAGCCATTTAGTTTTTAATGGTTAGAAGTGTTTGTTTCAGTTATATTTCAGAGGAATTAAGAAAACAAATTCTTCTTAAATGTTTCTAGATAAACATTCATTGGGCAGTTTTTAAGTACGTTCAAAAACAGGTGGATTTTGTAAAACATTTTCCCAACCTGATAATTTCACATCTTTTCTGTATTTACCAAACTAAAATGGAACGTGTTTCTCCTCCAAATGAAGGCAGAGGTCTTCAGTTATTATTATTGTTTCTTTATGAAATTAATTTCCTAACAAGTGACAAAGAATCTCATCATCCCTTTTGAAAAGAAGAAAAACACACAAAGGTCTTCAAGGAACATTGGTTCTGGACACTTGCTGACAACCCAGTGATGCAAGGTCCGGGAATCGAGTGGGTGGGTCTGTCAAGCTGTTTGTGCCATGGGTCTTGGGCTGGGTTTGATATTGTGAGTTCCGCACCCTGGCTTTTGAGAGGCCCATTTTGTTTTGCTGTTTACGCCTGGAGTCATCGTTGAGTTTTTTTCGAGGCTTACATTTAAGGATCTCACTTACTGCACTCACTCCTGTGCTTTATTGCTTTTACAAGTGGTCTCAAAACCCAGTACTTGAGAATAAACATAACAGTGCGGCACTGCTGTAGCACTTTTAAAAATTCTTCTTTGCTCTATTTTGTCAGTGAGCTGATGAGCAACCTCAAAAAAAAAAAAAAAAAAAAAAAAAAAAAACCCTGCTGGACCTTAAAAAAAAAAAAAATGGCTTCCTCTGATGTCCTAGAGACAATAATTATGATGTGCTAGTTAAGCCCAAACTACAGCTGAGGGATTTTACTTTAAAGCAGCGGCTTGGGCGCAAAAATGCATTTATAGCTCTTTGTCTGCACCTCATTATGTGTGGGCCTGATTCATTAAGTAATTGGTTTGCAGTTGTTTACATGAGTATTAAGGCCTTCTTTTCAGCCGCCTTTGAGAGATACATTGTGCAAATGTTGCCTGTGATGAATTCGGAATGAGGGCCAGAGGGCCCGTCCTATTGGCTAAACAGTGCACTCTGTTGAAAAGCCAGAGAAAGGGATTGGGTGCTGCTTTGCATAGCAATGACTTTCTTAATAAGCGTTACAGATTAATACACACAGCTATAAAAGATGCAAAGAGATACTCTTAGCACATTTATCCATGCTCATTTCATTGTGATGCTGGGCTGTGGGTGCTTTCGTGTTCCGTTTTCAGAGCAGAGACTTCAGAGCATGAGCCGTAATAGAATCCGATGTTTATTGTATTATAAATCACGGGCAAGTAGGCAGATCGGCAACAGTTTATTATTAAAGATTCTTTCAGTGTAAATCTTTTTCTACCATTGTATTTGCTTCAGCAAAATCATTTTGTGGTTGAGTGGGGATGAAAGGCATAATGTTCGAAGGAGTGAGCCCTAATAGGAAGCCGCTCTCTGAGTAAAGACCACTTGTTCCCTTTTGTTCGGGGGTGCATGCCAGAGCTTCCTCTCCTCTGCAGACATTGTCTCCCTTTACCTTCCCCAGGAAGCAGTGTCCCCTCTGCCGATCTGGTTATTCAATGGGGAGCGTTATCTTAACAGCCTACTATGTAACTAACTTCAGCTTGCTGATTCCTGCCTTGTAACGTCAGCTTACTAGTTGCATCGAGGTGGTGCTTTTGCTAAAAGGAAAGGGTGTGTGCCTGCCACATAATTGCTGGTGGGAAGGTAACAAATCACCCAGGCACCCACCCCAGGGTCGCTGTGGGTGGCATTCCCTGCCAGTCCTGCAGCCATGGGAGCGGCCAGCGGAGGGCGCCAGCATGCGGCTGATGCTCAGGTCGGGGCCTGGCATAGGCTCTTCTTGCGCTGTCACTGTGCCGATTTCCCTTGGAGATAATATCCCTATCACGAAGACTCCGTTGTCCAAGGAAATAATGACGAGTTTTGCTTGGAAATCCTTTAGGTTATCTTATAAAATACTCATCCTTGTCTCTGGTTTAGCAAACATATTCTTCTTCTTCAATCCCACTGAATTAGCAGCTTCCCAAGTGTTCCTCAATACCCTGTCATAAACCCGAATATGCTGCCTTTATTTTCTGCACAGAGGACTTCTACGTAAGAAAAATCGCTGGTTCACAAGTTGACCCCTAATAGTTAAAAACGGCATCTGCTGTAGGACCTATGAGTAACCATCAGGGGGCGCTCAGACTTTGTCAAATTAACACCACCACAGACAGCCCCATGGGCCTCTAAAACTTCAAATTAGCCTTTACAAAGATTTGGTTTTTGTTTGTTTGTTTGTTTTTCTTTACAAAGATTTGTTGGTGTGGCTACTGGAATTTTTTCCTTTCTCTTGTTCTGAATTTTTTTTTTTTTTTGCCTCTTTTTCAAAAAGATCTACTTTGAGGAAAATTCCAACTGCAGATAGTACTTGAGAAATGTTAATACTGATTTTATCTAGCAGTCAAAATCACTGAAAGTATTTGACTCCAGAACCTGAAGACCACACCTTGGTGTAAGGTCATTATTATCAGTCTATTATAGGCCTGGAACCAAAAAGTCAGGACACTTTAAGGAAAGTGTTGTGTCCCCCGTTCTGAGCCCAGAGAGGTAGGGACTTCTTAGGGCCACACAGTGAGCAGAGTTGAGTACTGGAAGCCAAGACAGGCCCAGTGCTCATCAGTCCCAGCATCTGAAAGCAGCTCACACAGCAGGTCACACAGTGGGCATGGCCTGTTTGCTCTGACCCAGGCCTTTCCCTGCCTCAGGGTTCACATCTTCTCTCGAGGCAGGAGGAGACCCTGTGAGAGTCTGGGCAGTGGAAAAGTATCTTGGTCTAGTTCTGCTCTGCTGCCAGCTGGCTGTGTCTGGGCCGCAACCCTCAGCCATGTGGGCTGTGTTCCCCATTCAGTGACTGCTCAGGATTCTAATGCTGTCACTAACCATCAATGCTCACTTCTAATGTAATGTGGATTTCTTAGCCTTAAGTTTCCTGGGTCTCATTTTGTGTCTATTTCCTGGTTCTACAAAACAAACTTAAGTAATTGCAGTAATCCTTACCATCTAGTTTTGTGTTTCTGTTGACCATGTGGACTGGTTCTAGTTACTCAGCTCTTTGCCCAGATGACATGAACAGTGACAAACTCTCTGCAGTTCCATTAGTAAACCCAGTCACTCTGACACCAGTGCAGTGTCCTGGCTGACCTTGGCTTCCTGAGTATTCCAGAGAAAGTGGCTGTGAGCAGAATCAGCCTAACCTGGCATCTCAGTCCCAGGAGATCTCATAAGCAGTTACCAAAATGCAGCAGCAGATAGGATGGCTTGATGGAGAGACAGAGGGGAGCCTGAAAAAGCCAGTATGGAGAGGTGTTCACTGTAGAGTACCCCAGAATGGCACATGGTACTCATGGTGCAGCTGGGGTGAAAATCACTCTGTCCACTGCGAAATACCCCAGGTAATTGTCCACTCTAATGAAACAGTGAAAGCAGTGGTTATGTTTTAATGTACTCCATTGTATGTGGTATCTTATCTGAAAATGCTCTGTTTTCAGTCAAGACCTGAGTCTTAATTGTAAACTTAGGGAAAGGATGCCACACTCTCCACCCTGAGTTCCACAGAGGGGCCTGGCAGGCCCTAGCTCTGCTGCAAGCCTAGTGACAGCCCTAGGAAAGGCAAAGCTTGGGTCTGTATGACCCTTGAGCTAAGAGCAATTTCCACACACTTAGGTGGTAGGAGAAATAATCCAAAGAAGAAGAATGTTTCATGGCACCTGAGAGCACATGAGATTCCGATTTCATTGTCTGTAAATAGAGTTGCATCAGAATACAGGTTCTTCAGTTTATATTCTGCCCTTGCTAATTTCTTGCCACAGCCAGAGCAAGCAGAGCTGTTGTGACAGCCACATCACCAGTGCCCTCTCGCATTTCAGCAGTCAGTGTACCCAGCCTCTGCTCCTGTTGTGCCCTCTGCCCTACAGGATAGAAGTGTCACTTTCACACTGGTGACCAGGCAGGCAGGGTGGCCTGCACATGGTGGGGTGGTGCCCAGGCCCAAGGCTGGAGCCTTGCTCCTCTGCATCTGGGGCCTTCAGACCGGAATGTGTTCTTGTTTTTCTTTCACCAGTTATAGAGCTAAACAAGCTGGCTCTGTGCAGCACTCCAGAGAAGCTTCTCTCTCCATCCCTGCCTGCCTGGCCTGTGCTGTACATGTCAGTGCTGAGAACCAGATGGAATAAATGTCCACCTCAAGGGCAGTGCCACAGCAACTGTTGAAAATGGCTCCTGATGGGAAATTAGTTGCCCCTCAGGCATGGGCAGTGGGAGACCCCAACGCATCCTCCACCTTTCTCAGTGAGGACCTATGTGCACATAGTTCTGAGAAAACTGATGAAACAGACAGGAGCCAGTGCACAACGAATTCACATTTCACCAGGATGCTGACGAGCTCCTCGTGGCTTACATAGTCATAAAGCTACACTGTAACTATCGGACGGCCAGCAAAGCAGGTTCACGTGGCCTTGTACGGACATGGCATGCCTGGCTGCCTTGTGCAGAGCTGAGGGTACCTGACTGCTTGCTGCTTGCTTGCTCCCACAAAGCCAAATGATTTCGAATACTCACTGGCAGGGCAATTTCCACAGCTGTGTTTCATGCAAGGGTTTTTCTTTTCAGGGTGGGGAGGGAGGCTTTTCTGGGTTTTCTTTTCTTTTGCCAGAAGGGAAGCCAAAGAAATTTGAACCAGGGCCGGGGATTTGGCTTTGTGGTTCTGCTGCCTGCCTTGCAAGCGCAAGAGCCCGAGTTTGATCCCCAGTAAAAAACAAAACAAACAAAAAAACCTTGTTAAGAAACTTGAAGCATCTGATTCCAAAGTCCATAATCCTAAGAAATATGCACACCACACCTCTCTCTGTTAACCATGGGCCTAAGTGATGCAGTGCCTGTGCTGGGTGAGGTTCTTTAACCCCAGCCTTTAGCACCTCCTGAGCACTAAGCACTGGCTCCCCAGGAGTGGCAGCAGGTATGGTGTGTGTGCTGTGGAGAAAATGGGTGGCTCATCAGTGAAGAACACAAGCAGATGTTAAGCAGCAGCTTGGATGGCTATGGGGCAAGGACAAGGAAAGTCCCATGTTCAGGCTCAGTCTTGGAGGCCCTATGCCTCCTTTTGGTCTTTGTGCCCAAAGCAGTGGGAAGGCATTGAGAGCCTTACACAAAGAAGTGATCAGATTCGTGCTTCAAAAACCTCACTCTTGCTGAAGGGGAAAATGGTTGACAGAGGGACAGGATGGGTGTGGTGCCACCAGTTAGAGGAGGCTACGGCTGAGATCCTGGCTGATCTGCCAGTGCTGTGGCAGCTCATGGGAACATGGTGAAGGCTTTGGGGAGTGTGAGGAGCTCAGCCTGGTGGGACCCAGGCCTGTGTAGGTGGCAGCAGAGGAGCAGGAAGAGGCAGGGCTGGGTACCCTGGGCTCTGAGATTTGAGGAACAGCCTGGCCCTGACCTGGGGAGAAGACCACAGCAAGGATGATGAATCTGTTTGCAGATGGGAATACTGACTTCAGGTGCATGGAGGGGAGGCCAAGGGCAGCTGCTGGAGGGACACTGGCTGTGTGTCTGGGGCCTGCCTGCCTGTGTCCTCTTCTGTATTAAGGCTCCCACTGCACATACTGCTACACCCTGTCCCTCAGTGCTGACTGCGATGTCCTCTCCATCTCTAAAATCTGAGGTCAAAGGCATCTTCCCTCCCTAAGGATCCCGCAGCCCACCCCTATCACCCACCACCAAGTGCTCCATTTGCCCAGGCCGTGACAGGCTTGGCCTCCCACCCTGGTTCACATTTTCCCTGGACCACAGGTTCACCCCTTTTCATGCCAGCAATGGTTTTAGAATCTACCTCCCCTCTCCACTCCTAGCCCAGTGTCTTCTGGTGATGGGAAGTGGGTGGAGAGTAACAGTCCTGTTGGCTTTGTTATATGCGGTGTGTGTGTGCATCATACTCAGTTTAAGATGACTCCTTCAGGCTCACTCTGGGCATGACTACCATCACAGCATCTAGCCTGTGACCAGCTGCCAGGTGTCACAGGGGCTTCTGTTCTTCACAGAGGACAGCTACAGGCCTCCTTGGTCATGTCACCTGACAGGCAGTGGACGTCAGCGTACTGATCTAGGAAATGATTCCTAAAGCTTGTTCATAAAGGAAAAAGTAAATGATGGCAGTTTTGACAAAAGGTGGGTCTGTAAGCTGTAGGTCAATCAGGTTGGCCAAGAGTCCTTGCATCTGGAGGAGCTGTGCTGGTACCATTGGGTATGCACATTTCCTAACATTCCCTTTGACCTCAACCCTCATCCATGTGGACCTGAGAATTGAAGTATAATAAAAAACATAAATACTATTCCCAGAGGCGATGTTTAAGTTCATAGAATTGCAAAGCACCCATGGCAGAGCCAGCCTTCTTTGTCTGCTGACCTTGGCAGATGAGCTACAGGCACTGGCACCCAGCACTAGTGTCGTCTGCATCCCACACCCTGAACCCGGAGCACAGGCATCTGTCAGGCTGCAACATGTCCGTTGCCCTCTCCTTTGTAAAAATGCTGGCATTGCTGTCAGGGCCTCACCTGGGATGAGGATTTGAATTTTCTCACCCAAATCAGGGACAGCACAGAAACACATCCGCCTTGTGCCAGCATCTTGTATTCCTTGCTCCAGGTGGCCACAGCAAGTCTTGACGTCGTTGTTATGCTTTTAAAATCTGTGGAATAAAGAGAGAGTTCCTGGCCTTCCTGTGAATAACAGTGCTTCTTCCCTAATGTGTTCTTGTAAAACTATTTGTCATTTTTTCAAGCTATTATTTTTTCTTTTACAGGCATGAAGACAAAAAGAAATTAATGACCCATTTAAAGTTGAATGGTAAGAGAAATAACTATACACTAATGTTCTTTTTGCATTTGAATCAAAATTTTCTTTTTGCCAAATAATAGTCTTTGCATCCTCACATGAGGACTGTGGAGTGTCTTTGATCCAGCGCAGCCACCCTGCTGGTCATGGGACAGGATGTGAGGGCTTCTCAAAGGATGGGATTTCAGTGACGGGCCATACAGGTGGCATAGACTGCAGTGCAGAGCAGTTTCATGGCCAGCTGTGGATCTGTAAGGCTTCTAGGCCTCCACATCAAGCTGATGAACAGCTCTGGCTTGATCTTTCCCTTGCCCTCTGCTCTGGGAGAGAACAGAAGGAGGTCAAAGTGGAGGAGCAGCCTGAGGTAATTTTTGTCTGTCCCTCTGTCCTGTAGCAGGGCTAGACACAGAAAGGAAAGTGAAGTATCGCACCGTGCACAGAACACAGCGAGTGTGTGGGCTTGCATCCTTCATGTGTCTGTCTGGTCAGGTGCCTTGCATGGATTCCCTGTTCAAACTCTTGCAGGCCAAGGCTCTGTTACCAGTCCTGCTGTACTGTTCTGGTAACTCAGAGAGTACAGAAAATATTACACAGATGTCTGCTTTTCTCTTTCAGCCTTCTGGGGAGAGTCTGACGACAGTAACTCAGAAATTGAAGCTGCCTTACGTCCTAGAAACCATGACACATCCTGTGATGATTTTGATGATTTTTATAACTAACAAGCTGTAATATCTGCTGGAATTAAAGCCTTTAAACAAACCAAAGCCCTATGTTTGCATATGAAATAGTGCAGAAACTTTGAGAAACAGTCCTCAAAAGGTTAAACATAGAATTACCCCCAACCTAGAAACTCCAAAAAATATTATTTGCTAACTAAAAAGTGGAAATAAATATCTATCACATGGTAAATGGATAAGCAAAATGTAGTATAGCCATACAAAATAATATCATTCTCAATAAAAAAGAATGGGATATCGATCAGTATGTGCTACAATATGGATAAACCTGGAAACCATTAAGCGAAAGAATTCAGTCATGAAAGACTATATAACTTATTCATTTGCATGACAAGGCCAGGATAGAGAAAACCATGGAGACAGAAAATGGATCAGTGGCTGTCTAGGCCTGGGATTAGAAGGAGAGAGGACTGACTACTGATGGATATGGCAGGTTTTGTTCTATAATTGATAGTGGTGGCAACTGTATAACTCCGTAAATATACCAAAAACAATGATTGTGTGCTTTAAAGAGATGAGTTGTATGTTACCATATGAATTATATATCAGTACTTTTTAATAAAAGGAAATTGGTGAATATATTTTGGGGTCTAGTGACTTAACACCTGTGGACAACTCTTGGTCTTTTGTTTTGCATTGTTTATGTTGTTCTGGCTTACTTGTTTGCTATAATAAGAAAATGTTTTATTCTTTGGTTTTTTAAACTCTTAACTTTGTATTCCAGCATTGTTTTTTCAATTAGTTCTTACTTATCCACCATATTTTTAAAAACCAGGACTTAACTGTAATAGTCATTGCCATTATTTGAATGTATCTTATACACATTGTGCCAGGCCAGTGGGTGATCCATATAAATAAATACTAAATTTCTATCTCAACTTGAGAAATCTTAGCGAGGGCCGGGGATTTAGTTCAGTGGCACCATGCCTGCCTTAAAAGTGCAAGGTCCTGAGTTTGATCCTGGGTACCAAAGGTGGAGGTGGGCCGGGGAGAGAGATATCCTAGCTAGAGTAAAGAATTGAATATGAAAAGAAAAACTTTAAAACTTTTTTAAAAAAGATAATTATTTGTCTGACTCTGGAGCAAGGAATAATTTTGTAACCAAGACAGAAAGACAGTCATAAAGGAAAAATGTCAATAAATGTAACTGCATGAGCATTTAAAACTCTTGTGTGATAAAATTACAATGTGAAAAGATAAGTCATCAGCTAAAAGGTGACATACTGTATATTATCCCATATCTGCATCTAAGCCAAAGAACCACATATCAATAAGAAATATAAACACAGTGGAAAAACAAAGGAGAGGAATGAGCAATTCATAGAAAAAGAAACCCAGATAGTTGTAGACATAAAGAGATACAGAAGCAAACTCTAAAAGAAATACACAATAAAGTACCATTTCATACCCAATGGACTAGCACTAATCAGGAGACGGATCACTTAATGATGGGAAGGACTTCAGGAAGTCTGGGACTTTCATACACTGTGAGGTGCACCTTTATAACATCAAGTTACAAGTGGGTACACCCATGATTCCATGATTCCACCTAAAAATGAACTCTAGAGCCATACTGTCTCATGCAGCTGTCATCAGCCTATCATCTCTGAAATGTGGCTAGTGCAAATTGAGAAATACACAATAGATTTGAAGACTTGTATGAAAGAAATAACCAAAGTATTTCACTACTAAACATACATTGAAATGGATATATTGGATATGTTGCATTAAAATATATTAATAAAGAAGATGTGGTTTTTCTATAAAATGGAATATTACTCAGCCATAAAGAATGAGAAATTAGATTCATTCATAGGAAAATGGATACATACTGAGGATATACTCCTAAGTGAAATAATTAAGTCACATGTGTAAATACCGAATAGTTTCTCTAGTGTGAACAAACTATAATAGTACATAAGATCCTAATGAGATAACTGACAACGTGAATTAGGAAGAAAGGGGGTAAAGGTGTAGGGAAAGTGAGAAGGGTAGGGGAAAGGTAATAAGGGAAAGAAAAAAATAGGGGAAAATGAAAAAATGGAAATAAAATGTTTGTAAATGGGGAGGAGAAGCGGGGGTGAAGGGAGGGCAGGGACAAGGGGAAAAAATGAGAACCAAGACCTGTCATGTAAAGATACAAGATCCTAATAATGAATGTAACGGTACTGTATAACTAAAATGTACCAATAAACTCAATGAGGAAAAAAAGTATCTCATTAAAATTAATTTTGCTAGGTTTTTCCCCTAACATTTTCTTTTTATATTTTCTAAAGTAGTTACTAGATGTGCTATTATGGTTTAGAACTAGAATGTTCCCCCAGAACTCTCACTTACTCAGTGACTGGACCATGGAGGGACTACACTCATCAGTGGATTCATCCACTAATGAATTTAGCACTTGAGTGTGCTATTAGGAGTTAGGTCTTTGTCAGAGGCAGTTTTCTGGGTGCATGACCTGGAAGGGCATATATCTTCCCTGACCTCCCCCTTATCACTCTGCTTCCTGGCCACCATGATGTGAACAGCTTTCTTCTATGGCCTCTCTACTATATTGTTCTACCTTAGAGCCAGCTGACAGTGGACTGTAACTATAAACCAAAATAAACCTTTCCTTCTTTAATTTATATGTATCAGGTATTCTGTCCCAATGATGGGAAAGTGACTAAGAGATTTTGGTATTAGAGAAATAGAGCCATTGCCATGATTATAGCTGACTATATGGTTTAGAAGCCTTTGGAACTGGTTCTTGAGAGGAGTCTGGAAAGTTTTGGAGATGTCAATGAGAGAAGACCTAGAATGCTGTAAACCATGCTTGATGGGAAATTCCACTTGCAACTGAAGATCAGAATTCTGAAAGAAATGCAGCTGGTAAAGGGAAGGCTCAGGAGTTTTCATTTGGGAACAATGACTCTACTGACGGTTGGATTCAAAACCATGTGCATTATGCTGTGGCAGAAAAATTGCCTACGTTTTGTCTATGGCAGATTGAAATTAAGGGTGGTGGAGTAATCTTGTGGAAGAAATTTCAAGGCAGCTCAATATTTAGGCTGTAGCACGGGTACTACTTTCTACCTTTATAGTAAAAAGCAGGGACAAATGGCAGTTAAAATCATATAGTTTCATCAGAAAAGAAGTACCTGCAAAGTTAGGACAAAGGGGAATATAATTACTAAAAAGATTCGCATTAAAAGTAAGTCAAGTATTTTGCATCAAGACAATAGAAAAGATGCCTTCAGTGTGTCTCAGAAATTAGTAAGACCTCATTCTTCACTGGCTCAAGATAAAGTCCTTTGAAAGAGTTTGCTTTTAAGAAGAAAGCCCCACACATCCTTCTCAAGAAGAGCCACCTAGAAAACTGTTTCCCCAGAATTCATTCCACAGTGTTCCCCTATCCGACATTCACTCAGAGGCCCCTGTAGCCATGATCCAAGGGGACCTGATTACTGCTTGAGTGTACTGGGTTTTCAGGCATGCAGAATCCAAGAGTTGTGGGGTCATGGAGGCTTCCACTCAGAGTGCAGAAGGCCTTGGAGGCAAGGAAGTGTGCCCCTTTAAGAAGACGTAAGAGTAAAGCCAAAAGTGCAGTGGAGACCCCAGGAAGTTTGAGAAGCCAGACACATACATCTGAGGAAAGCCACAGGCCATGAGTGGAGCCACGCCAAGACAGAGGCCATGAAAAATCTGTGGTCTTTTGTCCAAAGAGCTCCCTTGCCAAAGCATGACACTACGCAATGGCTACCAGCTCCAGAAACATGTCTTTTGCCACATTAAGGATGCCACAGTAATCTGAAAGCTGCCACAATCAGGAAACCACCACAATTAAAAAAAAAAATCCCCATGACAGCTGCCAGTTCCTAATTTGTGCTCCCCTTCTACCATCCAACCAGCAGAATGGATGTCCTGTGGTGTGCCTCGACCCCCTGGGTTCTCCACTGACCCTCAACAAACAAGCTCCCATCCCAAGAAGCAACAGCAGAGCCTTGCCTCCTTCCCACTCTTCAAATCTCATGCTTGGCAGGACTGATCTAAATCACAACAGAAACACTAGCTGCAAGGGACTCTAGGAAATGTAGCTTTGGGCTTTCCAGGTTCTGTAAAATAGCAAGACATACCAGAAAGGGCTGAAATGGATGTTAAATACTCTTACGTCATATCTATGTACATCTCCACCACTACTGGTCTAAGAATATAATTGAAAGGTTCTCAACAGAGAAACCAAATCCAGAGATGAATTCTGTGACCCACTAAAGTCAATTTAACTGAGTCCTGTCTCTAGAAAGTCATCCTTGTAACCCACACATACACACTTTGTCCAGGCATAAAACCTAATGAGGCAAGTCTTGGTGGAAGACCATACATAGATAATCCCCATAAAATTTCCTGCATTTGTTGCCACTGAGACTTGGCTGTCCTTGAACTTTTCATATCAATGAACTGTTTTTCTAATTCTTTTTAAGTGATCAAACATTCCTCTCCCCTCCCTGGCTCTCCTGGTTATCTGTGGTTTGATATACTCAATGATCACTTGTTACTGACAGATGAGATTTATTTAGGCCCCAACTCTGTGACAGCCTTTGAGCTTCTTACTCCACCCTCTCAATAACACAAAAATTAGGAAACCAAACATCCAGGGCTGGGGATTCATGCAGTGGTTCCACCACCTGCCTTGCAAGTTCAGGGGCCCGAGTTCGATCCCTGGCACCCCCTCACCCAAAAAAAGAAAAGAAAAATCCTAAGAAAACCAAACATCTTAAATACAGCTTTCATCTAATTCTCAAGCTTTCATCCACTTTCAGTATTCCTGTCACTAATGGCAGTGACCTGAGCACAGTGCTTGGGTGAAAATCAGATTTTGATGGATCAAACTGGCAAAAACACATTAACAATGATCACAATAATTCTAGCCCAAAATCCAAGCAGATAAGGGTGAGGTTGCTCACGGACTTACCCTGAGTGACAGAAACTGAACTTGTCTAATAGAAAGACTCATTAGCAGTCAACTGCCAAGACTTCAAGTCTAACTGTTTTCAGTAGTGGCTATAGATATTTATTTCAAAATCCTCTGGACATCTGATTCCTAAGATAGTTAGTTACCTTTAAGTCTTTTTGAACGACATATTGTCATTTGCTTCCCTCTGCTGATGTTTTCCATTTCCTCAGGCCAGTCCAGCCATTGACACAAAGACTCATATTTGATGACAGATGGTTCTGTGAGCTTCTGGTAAGGCCGTATCTCACTTTTGGAATGTGTGTGATAACTGAGTTCCTCTAGAGCCTTATTTATTATACCATTATTGTGCACAAACTCATTAGATGTAAAACATTCTGCCAGTCAACTTGATCCTACTCTTCCCCAGCTGTCACACTGGCAGCTCAAAGATGGGGACAGATAATTACCAATGGACAGTACCACTGCCATTTCCTGCCTTCCCAGATGGAGAGCCGGGTGCTACTCAACTGAGGAAGCATGCTAGAGGACAGAGCTAGGGAGCCATTCTGTGGTGTCCTGTGGTTTAATCACCACAGTAATTCCCTGAATGTCCATTTGTAGGGTCCTGTTGGCTGGGCCTTCCTAGCACTTGCAAGCACACTTGGGGCATGAAATTGGTCGCAATCATCAGATGGCACCCCCTCCTGTCACACGACAGCACTGTCAGTTGTGCATGTAGGCTGGATTCTTGCTGAAGACCAGCCTCTCTCCCTTTTCAGATATGCCTGCATCCAGTCTCAAGGCACAGAGAAGCATTTGTACAACAATTTAAGAAGCTGTTATTCAGTTTCTTATTCTATAGGAACATCCATTTGGAAGGCCTTGCTATGCCCCAGGACTTTGGCAAGCCAGATCTATGGTAGGATGGATTTGGCATGGTCTCTACCCTCAAAGACTTGAACGAAAAAGCCCACTGACCCTCAATGTGAATTATTTAGGGTGATCTTTCAGCTGCTATGATCAATAGGCCCTCAGTACAGCGGCTTAAGAAAGGTGGAAGTTTGTTTCACAACCATTAAGAGCCCCAGGCTTAGCAGGTCAATCTGTTCCATGCATTCCGAAGCTTAATTCTTTCCCATTTGATTCCTCCACCTCCCCAAGGAATCATCCTGGTCTGTTTGGCCAAGCTGGGTACCAGGAACGAGGGAAGGAGGAGAGAGAAGTCCTACTTCCTTCCCAGGAGCAGCATGGGAATTTCTCCAATTCCACTGGTAAAAATTTAGTTCTTGGCCACACCTAGCCATACAGTTGGTTGGAAAACAATCACCAGCTGTGCATGTTCCTTGGGAGAAAAGCAGATTTTGGTGGAAAACTTTCAGTCTTGACCACACAGTGCTATGTGCTACAAACTGATAGAGGAAAGTGCCCGAGGGGCCAAACAATTCTACGTTGTTCAGGTTCTTTGGGGGGATCTTTTTTGAGAAGAGGTGATAGCTCTGAGGGGGCCAGAGTGAGTGATATCTGGTCACTCCATGGTTGCTTCTCCATGAAGCAAAGAGGAAGGCAAAAAGGACTTTGCTGTAGGGCATTGTGGGGTAGGAAATAAACACCAGGCTTTGAGCCTCTGGCAGTGGTGCAGGGAGCAGCCACCTCTAGAAACAGAAAGCCATGCCAGAAAAGGGAAGCCATAACCCTAGCCATAACAAGTAAACCAGTTTGTGTGTGTGTGTGTGTGTGTGTGTGTGTGTGTGTGTGCGCATGCGTGTGCACGTTTTGGTTTTGTTTTGCCTGAAGAACAAAGCATCCACACAACAGTACTTTTTTTTATTTT